TCGTAAGGCGTTTACCCTCTCCTTTTTTCCCCCCCCCCCCCCCCACTACGCGAATTAAAAACAAGTTACGCAATGCAAGCAGTTAGCTCTAGCGCGTCAGTTCTCTTATCAAATCTCGAATTTTAAAAAATTTCCCTTGTTTAGTTATCTCCAAAACCGCAAGATTACCAAACAGGTGCCTTAAAAATCAATATTAGTATTACGATAAATTTTCCCCATATAATAACCCTATGGCTTCGCATCTTCATCACTTAACTCTTAATTTTCTTGACCCTTTTGTACCTTTATCGCATTTTTTCCTTTCAGCCATATTCCTTTACCACCCTTTTTATTATTCCGTCCTACCGTTATTACTCTCTCAATTGTTTCCTCCTTCTTTTGACGACGAAATAGTTCTCTGACTTCTTTCCTATACACAAGTTTTCCCCGAGGTACGCGACCTCTTTGAGTGCAAAAATACGTATATACACGCTCTTATAATCACAGGAGACGCGAAGATCTGCGCATGTGTTATCGAATGACGCATCGGGGCGGTTTGACGGTCCATGCCATCTGCCAGACATTGACAGAAACTAAGTTCTGTTAGCACAAACACAGACTTCTGCAAGTGCAGAGGATGTAAATATACGCATGTGCGTGTGGTATCAAATGATGTGTCGAGTCTGACGATTAACGCCATCTGTCTGACACTGCAAAAAGCTACGTCTTCTGTGAGCACAGACATATATACATGCATCAAAGTGGGATTTTCTAAGCTGGCAGAGTTGAACACTTGTGGGTAAACTAGAATTCATGACCTTCGGAATGAGATGCGTGGGCTCACAAACACACATCCTTAACATTTTAATGTAATATACGGCGACGTGTCGCCTGTCCTCTCTGTGTCCCCCACTAAGTTATTCCGGGACCATCTGCAAGAATGTGAGCTAACTGCAGTCCACTATACCACTTGCTGTCTCACATACTGCCTAATCACACTCATGGAGCTGAGCCCTTCTTGAGATGCCGCCAATTGTGCAGCTACTCAAGAACTTCCCAGCATTTTATGGAACCCGAAGGTGCATTACCGTGCTCACAAGAGCCTTCCACTGGTCCCTAACCTGAGCCAGAAAAATCCAATCCATCCCATCCCGTTCTATCTCAGATCCATTTTAATATTGTCCACCCACCTACGCACTGGTCTTCGCAGTGGTCTCTTTCCTTCTGGCATTCCCACCAGTATCCTATATGCATTCCTCTTCTCCCCATTCGTGCTACATGACCTGCCAACCTCACCCTCCTTGACCTGATCATTCTATTTATACTTGAAGAAGAGTACACGTTATGAAGCTCCTAATTGCCTAATCACACTACAAATTTAATAAGAATTCGCACGAAAAGCAGCAGAGAGGCAGCAACAATTCGTGTCTGATGTGCAGAAAAACATTAAAACTTAAAGATGAACTGAACCGAAAAGTGCTGCTCCAGGAGTATCACAGACGGCGGTTCGCCCTACACGCAGTGCATTTCGGAGCCAGTCAAGTCAGAGTAGTACAAAAGAAAATCATTTATCTTCGCTGTGAACGTTTCAGCAATAATTCAATACATTATTTCTGTCTGATAGTCTGCCAGATCAATACATCACAAATTACTTCATTCTTTCGCCACAGTATTCTCACATATCTGTTAAAAGACGGTATAACAGAACCAGAGGAGACGGTCGTTGCTAGGGAACGGCTCTGTAAACACGTTTTCACGGCAACCATCTCACGTGACAGCATTGAGGCACATGCAACAATAGAGTCTGAAGCGGTGTTTTCTTTGTTCAATTGGATGTCCAAGGGTCGCGAACCTGAGACGACTTGAGCCGTTGAGCAGCGGAAGCAGAGGACGGTATTGGGAGCCGTTACCAGGCAGCGCACAGAGAAGATACAGAAGACTTAGTGAGTGCCATACTGAACTGTACCTAGTGTGAATTAGCGATAGCGCTATAATTAATTGTGGTTACGAATCGCATAAGAGTCCAATAAATCCAGTTAGCAATCCAAACCCCGTGTCTTATACGTGACACATCCCATAGGATATCGTGTAGCGATGTTTTCAGAAAAGGGAGCAGAAGAACATGGCAGGGACATTTCCATCCCTTCACTCGCTGCCACGGATAGGCCAGTTCTCCGTTCTTTCTTCCCTTAATCTCTCTGGGAACCCCCAGGGCAGGCATTCGCTTCTAGCTCTTAAGGGATGTTCTACTG